ATCCAAAAAGAAAAGCAGGCTGAAATCAGAGTCAATGGCCTCAATGGCGCATAACCAGTTGACACGTAATCCTTAATCGTGATGGAAGCATGGTCGAGTCGGCAAAGCTCATGGTTGATAAATTAAAAAAAAAAAGAAGTCTCGAGTTCAAACCCTCTGGTAGATAAGGCTCGATCCCTCCCAACACTAAAATTTAAGAACGAAGAAGAAGAAGCAAGGTGAACGAAGTGTGCTTGTCTGTGACTGTGTGAAAAATGTAAGATGTCATCAAGTCAGTTGGTTCTAGACCAGTGGTTCCCAACCTTTTTCGAGTGGCGACCCCCTTTTATAAAAAGTAAGTGACCCGCGACCCCCATAGAATTAAAAAGCCGAAATTAGTATGGAAAATAATAAGCACTACAATAAGATTTTCTAGTAGACTTTCAATATGAACTACTCTTGACAACTGCTTTAATAGCATGAGTAAAATTGCATTCTATTCACTAAACCTTCGTGGTTAAGTTTTTAATTAAATTTTTTTTTGTTAAAGCCAATCTATGTCATTATAATTATCTTAATTTTGTTTTTAAACTAAGAATAGTGTTTAAAATATATTCTCGAAAAGTCAATCAATTTTACGTTTGGGTATGAATGGTGAATACTACACCAAAATTGTGTCTGCAGTTTTTCATCTTATTCGGAATAATTCTGCAAATCCAAGAATTCATCTTGTAATTCATCGGGAATGCTTGCAACATCAAGGGGAGAAGAGAATGGGTAATGCGTAAATGCAGATTCTTCTTTTTTCAGCTCAGAGAAATAGCGATGCAGTTCGTTTTCAAGAGATTCAAGATGCCCAGAAATCGCTTCTTTCAAAATTTTAATTATCTCACAATCAGATTCATCTACCACACCGCAGAGTTTCTCAAATTTACAATATTTCCAAGATTTATTTTCTTTACAGATTTTGCAGCTTTGATAAAAATGCCCTGAGATTATCATGGAAAGTTATAATATTCGTTCATTTTCCCTGAAGCTTCAGATTAAGCTTATCTTGATGTGCGAACACATCTGCTATGTATGATACTCTCTCCAACCACTCTATGTCGTTTTAAGTATACCAAAAAGTCTTGTTTCCTTTGCAATTCCAAGAACAATTTGATTTCAGATTTCAATTCAAAAACACAATTTACAACATTCCGTTTGACAGCCAGCGTACAGTAGTGTAGAAGAGCAGAACCTCGTGATCTATATTAATGTTTTTGCTCAGTTCTTTGAAGGCTCCAGATTTTATATAATTTACTACTTATACTAGCAATGGACTCTTGATGTCGATTGGTTAGGGCTGTGGTTAGCTAAATCTTTTCTGTTTTCGGAAAGCCCGATTTTGAGTAAAACATAGATGGCGCACCATCCGTACAAACCCCCACAGCCGTTCTAACCCATTTTAATCATCCAGTTTCAAAAAAAGGTGTTTCTTTTCTCCTTGCTATCTTCACAAAAGAGCAACTCTTCTTTGCTATCATCCGCATGACTATAGACACAGACCAGCAACTGCGAACACGAACTCAGGTCTGTTGATTTATCAACTTGAAAAGCAAACAATGGTGAAAGCTTAATTTCAATAAAAATGTGTTATTTTACATTTACGTACATGCAGCGTTTGATGAGATTTTCTCCTATTGTTTTTTTTTTTTTTGCTTGGCATTTTCTATTGTGTCTTCATTAGTGCAGGTGAAAACTTCCTGTTTGATCAAGTCTCTGGCTTTTGCAACTAGCTTCTGACCGACGAAATAACTCCATATCTTTTGTGGTGTGTTCCGAATGACTCATCTCAAATGACGTTTTAGTTTTGAAGATTTCATAGATTCGTGACTGAGAACAACTTTGTACAGTACGCTTTGTTTCTTCTCTATTACATTTCCAGTGATTTTAATGAAGCCGAATTTTTAAAAATTCTTCTAAGTATTTATGTTTTGTTTCAAAATACTAAGGTTTAGTATACCAGTTGGCGACCCGTGTTCTAGACTATAATGTAATAGTCATTTTTCTACTGTGTGATATCGTTATTATTTCTTGTGGATCTTGGTAAATAAAGTTTGAAGTTACAAAGCACTATTGCTCATATTCTTGGATGAACGAACTGTTGTTACAATTATGCACATTTTGTTTTGGCGTTCGCTTGGTGCGCAATTCTTTTTTCTACGAGATTCTATTCTATTTTTAAAATATTAAGCAATTAAAAATCATGTTTATATTCAGAGTTATATAAGAATATTCGAGAAAGTTTAGGGGAGATCACTCCCGGTTTATTTAAAAAAGTTAACCAGTAACCTAAGACCCCTCCCCCCTCCCATAAAAACCATAGCTTTGACATAACATTATTGATTTGATTATTCATGCATTGCTATGTTCTAGGCTATATGAATAACATCATATCATATCACACACATATATATATATATATATATATATATATATATATATATATATATATATATATATATATATATATATATATATATATATATATATAAAAGTTGAGAGCAAAGACCCTTTATCTACCTAGTAAAAGTCCTAGTTACTTCTTACTAAGTTCTTCATAATAGTAGTAACTAGTTAAGTTACAACTTACAAGATAGATCAGTGTTCACTGTTTCAGTAACTACTAGTAGATCTAGTTACAATTCTAGATCTAGTAGTAGTAGATTTTTAAAAAATCTGAACAAACTAAGTCAAAATAGGAATGACAGAACAAATTACTTTTTTAGGTGAAAAAGCGGGACGGTTCCGATTTTGGCGGGACAGTAGGCATGTCTGATAATATAAAAAGCTCATTACTATATGCAGTTGAAGTAAATAACAAAGACTGCTATTTGATATTGCGGACTTGTTTTCTACATGAAAATATTTGACACAAAATAACATGATATAGTGAAAGGTTAAAAGTGCCCCGACCTTTTCAAATTAGGGGTGGGGGCCGCATTTCCATTAATAAGCATATAGGCCTAATTTTGGGAGGGGGCGCAAAATCGATAGATCGCCCTGGGCGCCAAAATAGATCGCTATGCCTTTTTATATTACATTTGTAGTTTATTATAATCAAACTTATTAATTATAAGGTATTTTTCAATAATAAGGCCACACATCTTTGCGCCACCTATGTATAGAGTCCTTGGCGCCAACTTAAATTAGAACAAATTACTATAAAGTGGAAAGTAAAACAAATATAAAAAACATTTATAATTTAAATAATCAGCTTTTAAATGTATTGAATGATTTATTTGCTTTCACAGGGTTCATACACTATTATGAAAATGAAATTCCAGACTCTTTTGGTAAATTCCAAACTTCATACAGATAATGTGTGCGACTAATTAATACAATGATGCAACATGTGTACATTCATTATAAGTACAGCGTAATGACATTTATTTTAGAAAATTGAGCTAATGTTTATATTGAACTTTTTCTGTCCAAATTTAAGATAAATGTCTTTTCTAACATTGCCTACCCAACTTCCCCCCAACTTTGAATTATTAAAAAAAATTGATTCAGATGGTGAAATTCCAACACTAAACTTATGTTATTCGTTCATAATCTAAATCAGGGGTCTCCAAACTTTTCAGTCCGAGGGCCGTATTAACTATCGAATTTCAGTTCGGGGGCCAGTTTCTTCCAGAAATGTCTTTGATTTTTCTGGGCAGAGTTCCTCCGCCATCACCAACTAACGGTTTTTCCGTGGACAAAAAGATCTCCGCGGGCCGGATGAAAGGACATCGCGGGCCGTAGTTTGGAGACCCCTGATCTAAATGTATTGCTTTCAATATAATTATTACTAAAATAGCTGTCCTATCAATTTGGCATAATAGTGAGAGTTAATTAGTTTAAATAATAATAATAAAGTAATTTACTAATATAGGTCTACTGTTGTTGAGTTGCTTTCACGATTTAACCTTAGGTCCTAGATCTAGTAAATGGTGTTTTGGAAATAATAGGCAACTGCCTGAAAAATTAGACAAACTTAAGGGAAAACAGTAGATAAAAGAGGTTAAGATTTGTATGGCCATCATTCTTTCATTAAATAACAATTTTAAATACTCGTAACACATTCCCACTGAAGCCACGCAACAAAAACAACAAAAAAAAAAAAAGACTAAGGGCTATCAATCTCCCCCTCTCCCAATGACGTAGTAACTAAGCAATCAGGTTTCTTCTGTGGAAATCAATCCACAGTCTAGAGTCAATTCACTCAAGTATAGCCTTTTTGTTTATCGGAAAATATTGAATTCGTGCTCATGTTTTGTTTCTAAAACTAGATTCCACACTTTTCCCAGACTTTTAAAAAAATCCAGCCCAAAAACAAGAGATTTTTCAGACTTTTAAAAGTTAGTTACGTTACAAAAAGATACATTTAACCCCTTTTCATCTTTGTCATAAAAGCCTAAAAAAAAAGTCAAGCCTACAACCAAGTAGGTTTTTTTTATCAATACAAATGACAACTTAAAATGTTACAGAATCTTTGTAATTATAATGTAATCAGACTGTCTGGACACAGCTCATAGCTAGACCACCTGAGCTGGGTCTCACTTTCACTTCATCATAAGAACTAGGTGTGGGATGCTTTGTGTAGCATGTATCAGCTAAGTTGGGTTCAATATGAGCCAGCACATTGGTTTCATACTTAAAAAGTCCTTCAAATAAATGGGCCTCTTCCTGTTTCATATTGGGCAGAATAAAATAATGGATCCATAGGAAACGTTTTCAGACAGTATGGCTGACAGTATGCTTTAGGCATCTGACCCCCAAAACAAAAAAGAAAATACATACCTGGTTCAGGAGCAAGTTGAGACAGGCTTAAAGCAGCCTTCTCTGCAAACTAAAAGCCACACAAACTCTTAGAAATATAAGCTAAGAAGTCCCCCTAATCAAAATATGAGAGCTGCCCATGTTTTGCCCCACCACACAAGTCTAGCATTCATTCTCTATTAACACACTGGAAGCTGAAAGTGTTTGTTCACCTGTTTTTTTCAAGTTGGTTGTGAGCTTCTCTTGTGCCTGATCTGAGGAGTACAGTGAATTTTATGTTAGATCATAGAGGAGGAAAAAATATATACAGGGGTGCCACTCATTTTCTAAGTGAATCCTGAAAATGAATCCCAAAATTTTACCAATCCTGAAACTAAAATTTGAAATTTTTGAAACCCTGAAACTTAATTTCGCGCGGAATTTCAAAATAAAATGGACTATTATTTCATTATTTTTTGAGACATTTGATTCATATTATGTTCAATTTAAATTCCTTTAAAATGGATTTATTTTCTTTGTAACAAGCTTGAAATAAAAATTAATCTTTAAAGGATTGTGCTTACAACAAAATTAGTTTACAATGTTAGTCCCACCCATCTCTAGGCCTACCCCATAATGTGTTATTGTAGAACTCCCCCCCCCCCCCTCCCAGCCAGCTTTTATAACATTACTGTATTTAATTTTTGAGAACTTCCTAGCTTGATTTAAAGTGTGTAGTCAGCCAATTGCTAACCTCTATGTCTTGTTATTGAATAATAAGCGCACTATATGCAGACACCTAATAAGATTGTCACTGTATTAAAATACAGGGTTGACTTACTGTAGCTATTCAAGGCTTTAATTATTAACAGCCACAACAAAAACCTAAAACCCTGTTTTCCCAATCAACCACCAATGGGGTCATCCATAAATGATGTCACGCTTTTTTGACGATTTTTACCTCCCACCTCCCCTCGGTCACATATCTGTCACAAAAAGCCAGACCCCGCCCTCTAAAATGACGTCACACCTCAGCCTACACCCCCCCCCCCCCCCACCCCTAAAAATTGCAGTCGAATTTTTCTTAAAATACGATATTTTCCAAAAATCTTGTCTGACCTCTGTCAACATAGAGTATTTTAATCAATTCCTATTACACTTTATTGAAACAATATTCTAAAACGCGAAATAACGGCTAAAATTCGTTTTCTAACATAGCTTTTGGATAATGCAAAAGTGTGATGTCACACCATCTGAACCCCTCCCCCTCATGACAAAATTGCGAACCCCCCTCCCCTTACGAGTGTGACGTCATTTATGAACGACCCCAACGCCCCCACCATTGATATACATGATGACGTGAAGAAATATCATGGAAGTTTTAAGTCCATATCGCGGAATAACAGAATTAAGTTAATTTTAAAAATAATTTTAGAAGTAACTACGCTAGTAATACTCATGTCAGAGATGTAGCCGCCCGACTAAGTGAAAAGCTGATTTTTTTTTTTACAAGCGGTTGGGAGGGGGCAGTGATAGCGGCTATTTTCTCAGACACGGTACTTCAAGGTTTTTTAAACATTTCAATGACGTTTTACCAAAGTAAAAAAAACAATTAGATGTAGACCCTGCTAGATTGTGTAACTAAATTATAGCAGGCCTACATATTTTGTTTAATGATATAAAACGATGCAGTTCTAGTTTTTTTTTCTTTCTTGAATCTAGAAGTAGGCCCTTATTAAAAATAACCACGTTAAAATTAAATTAAACAGCGCTTGTACTTGTAGAACTGCCTTGACCGTGAGACACGATTCAGACTGTGCTTGCGTGGTCTCGTGACGTAGGTCTTACGGTCAGCGCGACCTTGAAGAAGCGGGTAAGAGGTGGTAAAAATACATAAAATAGTCCTTCAAATAGTTTTTTTCTTTTCTTTTGGTAATACCAAATACAAAAAAAAAAATTATTTTTTTTTATCTGAGCAAAATCTTTCGTTTTTTTTTTTTTTAAAGACCATCGGCGATGCTAGTGAGCTTGATCTAGTACTTGTAGGCTTTAGTTGTTTTTATTACACAGCCTAGCGGTATCCCATTGATGACATCACGTAAATAATGCGAGTTTTACCCCCAACCCATATCGTCATAAATAGCCAGACAGCCACACCACGAATGACATCAAAAAGTTTCGTCTACAGCCTCACCCATCTGATACAGCCGATTTGTATTTGGTCCTTGGCGCACGCGTGAGATTGTTGCTGACGTCATTTACTATTCATTTTTTTCGGAAAAGGCCATTAGCGGGAGTGTTGACGATAAAAACGATTTTTACAATGCCAAAAATTTCAAGCTTAAAACTATCTAATTTTTTTTTTTAAATGCAAACCCGGAAATTTTCAAACTCAAATCTTGCGAATCCGGAAAGGGAAAAAAATATGATTCTCGAATCCGGAAATCCGGGATATCCCGGAAAAGTGGCACCCCTGTATATATCAAGATACTGAGACTATGGGAAATGAAAGGGTGGATCATGTAGAAAAAACTAGTCAACAATTCAAAGCCCAATTTGGATAAGATTAACCTTTACTTTGATAAGAAAACATTCAAGTACAAGTTACCAGTTTGTACTTACATGTTGTAAGAAAGAACTGAGTATTTAATGAGATGGCTAGATTGTCTGTTAGCTCTAATAGGAGCATTGATTTTTTGCCTTTTAAAAAAAAATACTGATAACGTCATTAATTAAAAACAAATGCTAACTTGAGTAATTGGCTTGGTTGTACAGCTGGACAGAATGGGATCAAATCTGGATTTGTTTTCTCAGATCTGACACAGAAAAACTTGTAGAAACTGGTGGAAAACAGAGCGACTGACTGGGATGGTTCATATTCAAAACAGGAGGGACAATCATTAGGTGACAGGGGGGACAATCATTAGGTGATAGGAGGGACAATCATAAGTCCACGGGAGGGACAATCATAAGTCCACGGGAGGGACAATCATAAGTTGACAGACGGGACAATCTGGTGACAGGAGGGACAATCTGGTGACAGGAGGGACAATCTGGTGACAGGAGGGACAATCTGGTGACAGGAGGGACAATCTGGTGACAGGAGGGACAATCATTAGGTTACAGGATGGACAATCATTAGGTGACAGGAGGGACAATCTGGTGACAGGAGGGACAATCATTAGGTGACAGGAGGGACAATCATTAGGTAGATTTGTGACAACAACCTACCCTCCTGCTCTCCTCCTTGAGGGCAAAGATATTTCATCTTCACTACCACCAACACAACTGTTTGAACCATCAGAATTTTCACTGTTTTCACCTCTGGAATTTGCATAATGGTGAAATTGTATTCCTGCAAATTTCAACAAACATCACTAGGACAATGCACACATAATTAAATACATATCTATATTTAGCCTATTTTTATATATTTAAATATATTCATATCTATAAAAAATAAAGTTTTGGCTTTGTATTTTATCTAATCACCATGAAACTTTAGAAAGTTGAAGTTGGGATACTCATGGGAAGGTTTCTGTGATTTGTTAAAATGATATAATTAAATAACAGTGCATGTAAACTGTTCTCAAATTGTCTTGATGGAAACATGTTCAGAACAGTGCATTTCTTGTCACATTTCTGTTTCGTGTTTAAAATAGTTTGGCGCTTCTCTATTTATTATTGGAAGAACAAAATTGAAAGGAAAAATTAGATAATGACAAATGGCTTTTTGGGTCAACTACGATGAGTGTAAAACAGTTTAATAACAGTCTTTTATGTAATGATGCACTAAAAAGGAGAAAAATAAATGACTTTCTTTAAATATATAATAATACACTACTAATTAAATAACTATAAAGAAAAGCGTGGGTCACTATATTATTTACCAATAATTAGGAAGAAATGGCAAAAGCCAAGTACAGAGAAAGCGGAAAAGGTACATCTCTGCTATAGACAATCAAATAATGTCAAGCTAATTAGCAGAATTCTACCCTCAACCCATATCCTCACTACTAGCCATGCAGCTAAATTACAAATGTTATCAAAAAGTTTTGTCAGCAGCCCTGCCTACCCCTTCCTATCCAATCATTTTTTTTCATAACAGCCTGCAAACTTGGTTTTATGAAAAAAAAAGTGTGTAAAATTGAAAACAAGAGTGCCACTAATTTTTTTAATGAATCTTGAAAATCAACCCCCTAATTGTACCAATCCTGAAAGAAAAAAATTTGAATTGATTAAAACCCTGAAAATTAATGTTGCACACTAAACCACAATACGAAACATCAGCCTATGTTACTAATACTATAATTTATAGTGCAGTGGGTTAGGGTTATGCACATTTGTCTGTAGGGAATAGAGACATGAGGAGCATGATTTTTGGGGGGAAAAATGGGCGTATGAAAGAGGGAGAACAGCCTGCCACTGTAATAAATTAAACACCAATATAATTCACTGAACTAAAGTCATTTAGATCAATTTGTTAGGTTAAACGTCAAAAAAGTCTCATCGCCATAGTGCCTATTGTTTTTTTTTAGTTGTGTGGTATCTCTTTCTTTAACATTAAAGACAAGAAGGCTGTCCTATTTATATTAAACAAGAGAGCTATGTATATTAAACAAAATCAACACAATATACATAAGAATAGACATTTTTAATTTTTATCAAGGGAAACTACTCTAATATTTTTTGGAAAGATGGCCGTTAGGCGTTAGCTGTTATATTTGGTAAAATTTGCCTTAAATATACTTGGTTAAACAAATATATTTATCAGTTACCTCTCCCGCACTTTACTACTGCTGCGGGTTTGATTACACTAAAATGATAGATTACCTCTCTCTAGTTTCTAGAATATTACTAGCATCTCTTCTAGATTATCTAGATCTATTAACTATTTATTTAGGCCTAATATTTACTTACTAATACACCATCTAAACTAGATCTAGTGACTAGAATAATCTAGATCTAGAAATCTATAGATGATGACCACTGGCTAACCAGTACTAGATCTAGATTCTAGTAGGTCAAGTCTACTCTAACCAGTTTTGTTGCTTTACCTTCAAGTCTACTGGAGTGGGCACAGATTCTAAAATCTAAAGAAAATCTAGATCTTATTCTAGCTTAGACTACTCTAGAATATCTAGATCTAATCAAATTTTAAGATGTGCCTTAGTCTAGAGACATAAACACATGATAGTAGATAGATCTAGATCTAGTCTACAGTGACTCTACAGTCTTGATCTAGATCTAGATCTTTTTTTTTTAGAATAACTAGATTCTATATAGGCCTAAGAAGAGTTTAGTTAGATTGAAATGTAGGCAAATATTAATAATATTATTAATTATAGGCCTAATAGGCCCTAATAATTATATAATAGATAGTTCCCTATAGATTAGATCTATATAATTATAATATAGATCTAGATCTAGTCTAGTTAAGTCTAGTATCTAGATCTAGATCTATATTCTCAAAGGTTAACATTAACTAACATGTTACCGCCCAACAGCACGAACCACAATGATAGGGTAAAGGGGTCATCCATAAATGACGTCACGCTTTTTAACCTCCCCCCCCCCCGTCACGCATCGTCACAAAAAGCCAGACACCCCCCCCCCCCCAAAATGAAGTCACACCACAGGCTACAACCCCCCCCCCCCCTCAAAATTGCAGATGAATTTTTCTTAAAACATCGATATTTTATCCTAAATCTTGTCTGGACTCTGTCAAAATAGAGTATAGTATTTTAATCAATTCCTATTGCGATTTATTAAAACGCGAAATAAATAAATAACGTCTAAAATTCATTTTCTAACAATCATTCCATTGCTTTTTTAAATATAATAATATAATGCAAAAGTCACGTGTGACGTCTGACCCCCCCCCCCCCCCTCATCACAGTCACAAAATTACGGACCCTCCTCCCCCTACGAGTGTGACGTCATTTATGGACGACCCCTAAGTACACTAATTAGAGTCTTACTCTTATATCGCTGTATTATTATATCTGATCTGGGATGCAATACAGTAGTCCATGTGCTTACTCACCACGTGTGGATTTGGCCGAAGCTCGATTAGATCCGATGCCCGAATTTTCCAATTCCAAAACCTTTGCTGCTTGAAGAAGTAGATCCATAGAAATCATATATCGTGAATTGATGTATCAATTATTTGAGCGACTATACTTGTATTTGATTTATAAAAAACATATATAAATTAAACACCAATTACAAGCGTCTTGTAAATAAACTTTAAGACTTGTTTTCTACCTAAAACATGGCGGTTTAGTTCACAACCAAAACAACGCATGCAAGATCGGTAACACGTGTCTTATGATTGACAAGTTTGTTTTGTTTTTGGACCAATGAAAACGTTCAAGCTGATCCAGAGTCATATGATAGTTGTCTATAGCCGCCCAAAAAAATAGTTACGCTAAACATTCACATTGTAAGGTTAATCAAATATATAAAATATACAAGAGAACGTTGGTGAAAGGAATATTATGTTAAAGATTGTTTTAAAAGTTGTGAAAAGAACTAGTCTATATAACCTGATACACTAGCTAGGATGGTAGAGTGTGTAAAGTTACGGCTTATTATGGTCCTCACACAACCTGATGAGGTCATGTACCACGTGAATGCCTGCTCACATGCAGAGCTTTTAAATCATTGGACGAAATACTAACATTTTCTGACACACGTTAGTCTTAAATTGTCTAAGTATGAAAGAACCTATTATTAAATAAATGTATGGTTATTTGTTTTTAAATATCGATTAGTTAACTGTACTTGTTAATTTCCATGAGTAAACACGATACTATGTTTGTTTATAATTTATACACTGTTCAAAGCAAAGGGGCGTGTACACATGCTAATTATATTCACGGTAACTAATACATTTACACGGGATGTTACGAGACTTTTCTAGCACTTGCCAGATAGGCGAAATTTTTCCACCAAAACTTATAATATTATTATCAACTAGACAATTCTAAAATACTTTAATCTAATCGTCGATCTTAACACTTTGATATAGATCTAGTGCCATATCGTTCTAAAATAAGTTAATTATTTTCAAACGTTATAGTGTTCAGTTATACTCAAAATAATCTTCACACTTCACCACTTTCCATGACTGATAGACAGTGTTAGTACTAGATCTAGTAACATACGTGTAAGTCTTTTAAACAGGTCTACTTGCATATTATATCCAGGCTTTTGTGCAGTATGACTGCATATTTTCTTATAAAAAGTAGACTTTTCACGGACCAGTCAGAGTACTGGGGAGATCTTCCTATCGGTAACCATTGATATTCTGACCATAGGGGAGTTAGACACTGGTTAAATTATATATTTTCTAAAAAAAAAAAAAAAACATTGTTTTTCGCCTGGTGGTTGTGATATCCGAAACAAACTTTATATTAACATTATATTAAAATATTAATGGGACCAGAAAAAGAATGTGATTCAATTAGATCATGTAATTAAAACAAGTTAAATCAAAGGTGCACCTTTGGAACTTTAATTATAGTAATAGTGAGACATTGTGTTCTTTCTAGAACTGTATAACTGAGCTGGCAGGGGTCATCCATTTATGACATTCACATGGAAGGGGGGAGGGGCTATAAAAGTCCATTTGTATGGATTTGGTGAGGGTCGTCTATTTAATATCAACATATTTGTGTTTCAGCCACACACAAAATGTATAGGCCTACGTTTAAATGACAGCTCTCCTTTTTTTGTGTGGAAGATATGTAAGTCTGCATCCTGTAATTAAAGAATGGAATCTGTTTAAAAAATTAAAACATCTGCTGTAAGCAATCAAATGAAATGGAATCAGAAATAAAAAGGGTTAACGAACCCATGAGGCCTTACAACTTATTAAAATAACTTAATATATACATGTAGAAAATTATACTTAAAAAAACTTTTCTATAGGCCTACAGTATTTTAATATTTTGATTGAATGCTGACTTGACTTATTTACAATTCTACATACATTCAATGTATTACATTGTTTTTACACAATATTAAATGTTAATAGACAATTACTTTTCGTTATTTATATATATTTCTAGTTAATAATAATAGAAAGCCAAATATCTTGGAAAATGGTGATTTTTTAAATTTATTTAACTTTACTTTTATTGGTCTAAAGTTGCGCAAGAAGCTGACAAAAATATAGACTACATGGCGTCGTTTTGTCAACATCCTCTTCGATTTATGACGTGATGTAAATTATTATTTATTAGATTCCAAATCTAATTTTAAATTCAGTCATAGATCTAGAATAGATCTAAATTTAAAAAAAATTAAGGTAATCTATCGTTTAAGGGTAATCTATCGTTTTAGCGTAATCAATTCGGCTGCAGTAGTAATGTGCGGGAGAGGTAAAAAACTAACTGATCACTGATGAATTCAGAATTATAGAGATCTTGATACAAGTTGATAGGGATAGGCCCCTATTAAATATTAGAATTATTTAGAATATATAAAAAAATAGGTAATCTATCGTTTTGGGTACGTAAAATCGCCCGCGGCTATTAATGTACGAAAAAGTTACCTTATTGTCAAGGCTTTAAACTTTAATAGAAGTAGGGATTTTGGTAAAAAAACACTAATCATCATATAAAAATAAGAATTACATATTCTTGTAGAGCTCAACTAGATCTAGAGTAAAGTTCCACGCGCGGTTAAAACACCGGTGCGATCATCGCCTGTTTATCGCTTCGTACAATATTTGTTTTGATGTTTTATACGAAACTACAGATATCTGCTGTAAACCTGTCCATTTCTAAATATATCCAGGTCAAATTCTTTTGTTTTTCTCCTTCTGGAAGTCGAGTTTTTAAATTTTAAAGTTTCGAGGTATGACGTCGTAGGCGGTTCTAGTTCCCCCTATGAAAAACACTAGGTCCCGGATGAGATGAATAAAACCAACCAATCAAAGCTTTTTATAACTAGGTTAACTATAAATAGCTTCTACAATATATGCGGGACACTGTACATACGATAGATAAGGCTAATAAAGCAACCTGATAGGTAAATAGGGGTGGCCGCAGCTTGGGTGTCGATTACGGTGGTTTCACATCGCTGCGTAACCAACGACTTGAGCTAGACTAGCCTAGTTCTAGATGCTCTATATTTCAAACTAAGCCTAGAATCTGTATACTTTCTATTTTTTTCTGCTGTTTTAAATTATTTCGATCATCTACTTCTTCTAAATCTAGTTTGTGTCTCTACATACAAGCATATCTAAGCAAATGTTACGTTATGTCTTTTAGTGGTTGTTACGTCCCTTTGTTATGATTATTATAGTTGCGTCCCTTGAGTCATCACTGGGTCAACTTTTAATGTCTTTAATTAATTTAATTAACATGTTTTTAATTATTATTTTTGCAATCTATTAATTAATAATACAATCAACAACACGTTTAAGTGTGTAAAATATTTATTTCAATTATTAAAATTGGATCAAAACGTATACAATACGCTCGTTGGCAAGCAGGTTCTTGCGTACGCAGGCAAAAAAAAAAGCGAAAAAAAATATCGCAAGGAGGGACGTCACTAAAACATGAATATCTTAAATACTATGCGTAGGAATACAAAATGACTCATACATATTAAAGTAGAATGGCAGTGGAGTAATACAGTGCTTTCGGTTTGTTTCTGTGTGAAACGGTTATAAAATAGCGCCCGATGAAAATCGGGAATTTGGAATTTTCCGCTATGTGTGACCGCGCGTGGAACTTTACTCTATATGAAAACAAAACAAAAAAGATTTTCTGTCTAGCTCAAATAGTTTTTTTTTTAGCGAATTTTTTTGTGAGGGGTGGAGTGCCCTTGCTTTTGCATTGGCCAATTGTGACAAGTCATGGTATACCTGAATAAATTGAGCATAGTTATTTTACTTGCAGTTGTATTTTGTTCATATTTGCAGAGTTGAGCTAGAATGATATATAGATCTTGTATATGCTGTTGAAATAAATAAAAATAATACAGAAGTATATTTTTGTGTTGGCTTCCTTCCATAACCCCAAAAAAACTGTGCTGCGCAAATATGAAAATGTTTCTAAAGCAATGTTTTACAGTGAATGAAAGAACTACAAAGTTAGCAATCTAAAGTAAATGACTTGAACACTGAAATGTGCATATAACTGCATATAACTGCCCCATTATTTTGGGCAGGTGAAGTAGAGTCCATCTTTAAGACATTTTGTTATAAAACTGTGCTGCGCAGATATGAAAAAGTTTCTAAAGCAATGCTTTATATAAATACAGTGAATGAAAGTACTACATATTTAGCAATCTAAAGTAAATGACTTGAACACTGTAATGTGCATATAATTGCCTTATTATTTTGGGCAGGTGAAGTAGAGTCTATCTTTAAGCCATTTTGTTAAAAGTGAACTGAAGTTATCTGATCAATGTTTTTATGTGTGTATTGTGTATGAATTCTGATTTTCAGCATATAAATATAACTAAGTAAGGGTAAGTAGAACTTGAATACTTAAAATTACAGTTAGCACATAGCTAGTGTAGTGTATTCTAGCAACAGACAGGTAACCTATGTCTGACTCAGCAAAATTTTACTTCAAGCAAAACTAGAACCAGAGTTGAAAAAATGAAAGACAGGTAGATCTATATTAAAATATGTTTAAAACAACAAGTAGGAGATTTGTTTGTACATTACATAAGAATACTGTTGTTAGTGTATCAAAACTAAAAGCCGGCAGATCGGGATGAAGAAATATAACATTGGAGTCAATGGGGGCAACGTGACCTACTTACGGTGACTACTTTCAAATGAGTATTTACTAATGTCAAAGTCAAAATATCCAAAATTAAATATCATTTCTATAAAAATGGGATGTATCTGCTTTGGAAACTTTCATTATCTAAATGGAAACTTTTCAAAAATCGCGTTTTTAAAGCATTTGAAGTTAACCTTTATACCGCGGTAAGACCAAAGCAGAGACAGCATGCAATCAGATCGCTAAGCCATCAAAACAACTGGAAAACCATTCTACTTTTCATTTAACATTAGGAAATGACCTTTTAAACTTAATTAATTACCATAAATTAAAAACTTATTAGTATGCAAAACTAAATCTCGTGCGCCCGGTATCAGAAAGTAATGGGAGATTTCGGGTCATGTTTTTACCGCGATCTCGGCCGATACCGACAAGCCTAATAGAAGTATATTTATATTCATTAGGCCTATATCAACTATATGTCATGATATAATATATTTGTGTCAAATATTATAGATAAATTCTGATAAATGAATAATAAACCTAAATTAAATATAGGCCAGAAATTAACTTTAAACAGCAGTGTTTGCGAGCAAGATTTGTTTTATAAACAGCAGCCATTTGTAAAATAGAGTGGCTTCCCCCTGAATCTCGCGCTATAAGTTTAACAAAAAAAACTTAAACAAGATGGCTGCTATAGTAAATGAGCATGGTTGCATCTGTTGGAAACATCGCTAGTGTTCATTTATTACTGAAAAGTTTTAATTCAGTTGTTTAAAAACAGGTACATAAATGAAACAAGGAAACATTTTTGTATTTTTCAAAACATAAATCCTCCTCAAAATGTGAAATAATTATTAAAATTTAAGGAGTCACCTGTTTTTCACATTACTAGTCGCGGGCGATTTTACGTCCCTAAAACGATATATTACCAAAAAATAATATATAGAATATAGGTTAATATTAAATTTAAAAAAATTGTTTAAGTATATTTAAGTCAAATTTTACAAAATATAACAGATAATTGATTTAAAATAACAATCAGTGACCAAAACAATTTAAAATATCATGAAACTAACTTTAAACAAGGTGTTTGAGGTAAATATTAGTAGACAAAAACAGCAGCCATCTTTCCAAATAAAATTTAGAGTAGTTTCCCTTAATAAATATGTCTATTCGTATGTATATTGTGTTGACTTTGTTGTTTAATATACATAGCTGTCTTGTTTAATATAAGTAGGACAGAGGGCCGTCTTCATATCTTTAATTTCAATTGAAATGAAGGCTATGTCTATGTAAAAATGTATGTACATTCAAGATCTCAAAAACTTTTGGAAGGTTCAACATTTATTAAACCATTTTGTACTGATAAACTTGTCAATTATTACTATTAGGTTGTCCATACATATTCCTCATAAATGATGTTGGACTCAAAATATGGGACGGGGTAAAATATTTTTTTTTAAAATGATGAAGAACATATTTTTATTCGTTAGAAATTGTGATTAAGGGTTCGGGTATAGTAAGAACTGCAATATGATATGAAATCATCATCTTGCTTTTAGTGACGATTGGGGGAAAGGGAATTCATTGGGAAAAGTATGACGTCATTTATGGGTGATCCATTTAAGCCTAGTTGTTTATTTTGTCTGTAGACATTAAATTAGTCTTAGGCCTACACTTTTTCTGAATTAAGATTATTGTGTTTATGAAAATAGGTTTAAATTTTAATTAGTTACATTTGAATACCACATGTTTTTTTTTGTTTGTTTTTTCTTTGCCTTCTGCTTTCATAAGATTTTGATTTGTTCAGTAATCGATGTTTACCCCTCCCCACCATCCATTATTACAAAAACAAAAAACACCCACTATGTAGTGATATCTCCCTCTAGAAAAATACTAGATCAACGTAAAGTCCGTAGGAGAATTAGAATCTTATCTCTTATTCGTCTGTTAAAAATAGAAGTAGTCATTTTTCTCAACCCCACTGTTTCATCCCCAAATAAGCACAACGCCACCAAGTTCGCGACACGCTTGACGTCATTTGTCATTAGGCTAATGTTAAAGAAAGAGATACCGAGTAATTAAAGAAAAATCAAAACAGGCACTATGGCATTGAGACTTTAGCGACTTTAACCTGACGAATAAATCTAAATGACTTTAGTTCAGTAAATTATATTGGACTTTAATTTATTACAGTGGCATGCTGTTCTCCCTCTACTATACAAATTCACATGCTTATAATTTCTGCAACCTGCTGCCCTGAGACGTTCGGCTCTAAAATGCCAGTGACACAGCGGCTTCTGTAAATGCAATTTTGGCTCCCGGTCCCACCGATGAACTTCGTCTGCCCATTAAGCTCCACGCAAAACTTGTGATTAATATATGGAAATAGCGCATGGTTGTGTCAACAGGCCCCCCCCCCAAAAAAAAAAAACTCAGCTCTTAAAGGTGCGCCGAACTTCATAAAAGATATCGTCGGACTCAGGAGTATGGCCGACGGCCAAAAATGTTACCAATAAACTTAAACAAGATGGCTTCTAAAGTAAATGAGCTTGGTTACATCTCATGAAAACATCCCTAATCTTTATTTATTACTGAAAAGTTTTAATACAATTGTTCGAAAACAGGTAGGCCTACATGAATGAGGTTTGAAACATTTCTGTAACTTTTACAACATAAATCTTTCTAAAAATGTGAAATAATTACAAAAATTATATGAGTCACCCTTTTTTCACATTACTAGCCTCGGATGATTTTACGTATCTAAAACGATAGATTACCAAAATTAACAATAATAATATAGTCGATTCTAGTTATTTTTAATTTATTATTTCAGTAGTATTTTTTATTGTATTATAAGTAGTTTTTCTTACTAAATCTAAAAGAAAAAATTTCTAAAATTTACCCAATTTTCAATTTAAACATGACCACTGAATGATAGACATCCATATTTAATCCATTAGGCACTAATTTTGAAGTTTTTAGTTCGTTTTAAGCTAAATTACTAAATTTAATATTTATTGTCACTCACTGCCAAGCAAGACACACCTTTCCATGACAACCCATTCTCCACAGAAAATTTAAAATGCTTTTCTGACATATTTAGACCTGCCACCTATAGCATGTTTTTATAACGTGAAAACCTGCCATTTTGCTCGTGGTAAATATTTTTAAAAGTAATTCTAAGAAGGTCTCTAGAACTAAGACGAAAAATCGTCGGAAGTCATGGATCCGGTCCGTACGCCATATTGTTGTTAGCAACCAGCCTCCGGGGTAGCGAGCAATTCTATAAGTATTATAGAGCAATATAAGTATTATTTATTTTAGTTAGGCCTAGCCTACTTACTTCTGTACTAAACTGTACTTCAACTTGAATTCTTGGGAGGCCTAATCATTTTAAATTTAAATTAGAAGTAGAATCTAGATCTACTAGCCATCGGTATCCGTTTCACATGAATTATAGGCCTATATATTTTAAAATGTTGTACTTGTTTTGAGAAATTTTTTTTATAAAACAGTTATTGGTCAAAACGCAATGTGCTTTACTACACGCTGAACGATATTAGTGACAAAGTAAAGAAATAACTAATTAGCTAAAAATTCGACACATTTAACCTAACACAGGCACACACTGATTAAGAGACTTAAAATTAAGAGACTTAAAACATTTAGTTAAAAACCCGGCTGTTCAAAGGCAGTTATGTTGTTTTTGTCTTTTAAAATAAAAATCTATAATGTGAATAGATTCTTGAGTAGATTATAGGCTAAATCTAGATCTAGCGTCTACATCTAGTTTTTCCGTAGATCTCGTCTAGATCTAGAATCCAAATAGATAAAGTAAATTTTATAAGTTTAGGCCGAGAAAATTGTATTATATACATTTCATAGCGTGCGTAGATCTAAATCAAATTTGAATAAAATAGTTCATTTCTTTATGTTCTAAAATCGGAAGATGACGCCATGAGTTTTGTGTAAACATTTGGCGAGTGACGTCATTGTTTTGTGCGTTCTTTTTCACAACTATAAACACTTTTCCTGTTGCATAATTAAAACTGTTTTCTACATTCGGATATGCCTTTATTTTTTATTTTTCTTCTTTAAATAAAAATTGTGGTTATACATTTAAAACATCTACCATATTATTTTCAACAAAAATCCGTATCAAGTTCTCCATATATTGCTGAAGATTCTGATGTGATATCCAGCAAAAATATTTTGCGGACAGAGAGAGAGAAGTGCGCACTTGGGCTTTTATATATTAGGACTGATACTATATTGTGATATATTTGTGTCAAATATTATAGAAAACTGAATAATAAACCAAAATCAATGGCTTAATATATCAATATAGGCCAGAAATTAACTATAAACAGCACTGTTTGCGAGCAAGATTTGCTAGGCCTATATACTATATATAATATATATATAAATAGCAGCCAGCTGTAAATTAGAGTCATTTTCCCTGAATCTGGTGCTATAATTTTACCAAAAAACTTAAAGATGGCTGCTAAAGTACAGTAAATGAGCTTGGTTGCATCTGATCAAAACATCGCTAGTTTTTATTTATTACTGAAAAGTTTTAACACAATTGTTTAAAAACAGGTACATGAATGAAACTTTGAAAATTTTTTATAACTTTCAAAACAAAACTCCTCCTAAAAATGTGAAATAATGACTAAAATGTAATGAGTCACCAGTTGTTCTCATTACTTTTTTTGTGTGTGTAAAATTATAGAGATTCAGTCAGGGGAAACCACTCTCGCAAACATTGCTGCTTAGTGTTTAAAGTTAACAAGCTGACCCGCTACGTAGTATACGCCGCCATCTAGTTGTTTTATTTTCTGCTTATTGGCAATTCATAATTTGTGAATTCAACACTACACCCTCCCCCCTCTCTTCTCCCCCCCCCCCCCGATTTCTGGCCTATATTTGAATATTGATCTATTTAATATTTCCATTATTTAGCCACTGATTTTTGTTTATTATTCAGTATCTATAATATTTGACACAAACATATCACAATATATTTCTATTCAAGTCTTAACAATGAGGCACCTTTTTCCATTACTAGCCTCGGTCGATTTTACGAACCTAAAACGATAGATTACAGATTTTACGCACATAAAATGATAGATTACCATATTATATAGGCTAATGGGCCTCTACTAAATTTAAGCGTCATAGTTAAGCCATTCATCATATTATAATTCAAGAGCCACTATTTCTCTAACAGTCTTACACATTTTTCACCTTAGGTCTTTTTAAAAGCACAAATGGTTTAATACATTTTTCCACTATTAAGAAAGGGAAAAGAATAGGGTAAAGGTTGTGTTTAGGTTGTGATTAACTAATGATAACTCCGCTATCCTAATAATTGCACCACTAAATCTGACTTTGAGAAAGTGCCAGTTTAAAAAAAATTCTTTAGCCTTAGCAGTGTCCCAGTTTTTAATAGATTTACAAGGCTAACATACTTATATCTAGAGCTGCTTACATTTTTTATATAAAGTATGTTCATATAAAATCTAATTTTTTTCCTCTGCAGGTTTCAGAAAATGGCTTTTATCATTGTTGAGAATCTCCGTGGCTTTTTTAACAGTCGACCTCCACTAGTTGTTTTTATGATTTGCTTGGCTTCTTTTGCAATAGCTCTTATAACTTTTGCATATATTGTAAAGACAAAAGAAATGGCCAACCCTGATGTATCAGAGGTAACATTTCATTCAGCTATCTTATGACAAGTAGACAATAAATGTCAACCAGAACTCAATGTTTTCAAATTGTTTGTGTCTATTGAAATAGAATAGTACTGTTGGTTACCTTTTGTCTCAGTGTCACTTAATCAAAGCCATGAGTAAAACTTATTTTACAAACTTTTATTCAAATGAATTTAATTAAAGGAACATCAAAAGATTTTTCAGTGTTTAAGGTAAAACAAATTATTATGTTTTCATAAAGTAATTTCTATTATAGAAATATTTATTAACGAGATAAATGGCCCGTTGAGGGAGAGATACAACGGGTGTTAGGTTGATAGTGTTGTCTTTTAAATATAGTCATGGTTAAAACCTTAAACCTTGAATCTAAGCTCAAACTTGACAACAATCGCATTTAGAGTTTCTTTCAGGTAACTCTTCTGGAGAGTAGGGGGTGGGGTAGGCCAGAAGAAAGTCTGCCACCCCCAATGACACCATAGAATGTATAAAGAAAATATATACTTTTATCAGTGTCAGACTCCTCCCCAGAAAAATTTAAACCACCCCCCCCCCCACCAAAAATTTCAAGTATCCCCCCCTCCGGGGAGGAAAACATCTAAAAGAAACACTGGTCCCATTTGTAGAGCATACAGACTAAAGGTAGAGCCTAATTCTATAAAATAAACCTGTTTACTACTTTTGGCTGATAAACCTCATTCATGAAGTATTTCTTTCAGACTTTTTTTTCCAGGGGTGGGGCACTTGAAGCAATAAAATTCTCCGGCACGGGGGAGGCGGACACTGGTAAAATTATATATTTTCTATATAAATTATATTTCGTTGTTTTTTTGGGAGGGGGGAAGGGGGGGGGGGGGGCTTTGCCCCTACCTGAAGAGATGCATGATAGAAACTCCACGCAAACCATTTTAAAAATTAGACACATTAATTAGTCCGTAGTGTCAGTGTTTTTATTATAAAAATATCGATAACGTCATTTCTGTTGAGGGGGGTGCAGCTTAGATGTTCTTACAGGAGGGGGTGGGCTTCGCCTCTACCACGAAGAGATGCATGAAAGGAACTCTTCACGCAAACCACTTTTAAGATTAGACAAAATTGGCTTTTAATTCATTGTTTACTCGAGAATCAATGACGTCATATTATTGTGTGTACTTCTCCGGCTTGAGACTATTTCTTACTATATGCTCCATGTGACGTTTCGTTTTCGTATTACTATGCATGTTTTTACTCTTCTTGTGTTTTCTCTATAGTAAAAGCGTTCCCGACAGATACATAGATAGATACATAGACAGATAGATACACAGACAGCGAAACTATTATTATAGATGTTGAGAATACAAATAATTACCACCAATTATTTCCCACTAGCTTAACTCCCATTCCCTGTGACAATTATTCCACTTTCCAAAAATGTCCAACAAAATCGGGGTTAATGACATCTTTGTTGTGTACAGATGAAAGGGGCAAGTATTTATTTGATCTTGATGTTTATTATTTGAATTTTAAATTTGGTTTAAAACCAGCTACCAAATTTGACAGTATTTATTCTAGAAGTGAAGCTTTAGTTCTACGAGGACATCCAGTTCTGGCACATGGATTTATCAAACTGTATTTATTCATTGATCAATTCATTCTAGTCAAATTAATAAAGAACTGTATAATATTGTCTTAGGGCTTTATTATACTTGTTTATAGGTAGTGATTGGCTTTTTTTTTTTTATTATTGAACTACAGGATTGGAATACTTTTTTGACAAAATTTTCAAAACTGGATTTTTGTGTTCCCCACAATGCATCTATGCATATAAATGCAAGTTCACCTATAAAGGTAGCAGACCAGAGTCCAGCTGAAGTTTATAACAGTTTAAAAGATAAAATTCAAGATGTGGATGCTGTAGAGTCTAGACAGAGCAAACGATCAGTGACCAACAGGGCAAGTCCGGTGTCAGCAACATTGAGCAGAGAAGATCCAGTAACCCAGGAGCCTAGTACAACTGTCTACTCTAGGGATAGCATTGTGTAAGTACAACTGTCTACTCTAGGGATAGTATTGTGTAAGTACAACTGTCTACTCTAGGGATAGCATTGTGTAAGTACAACTGTCTACTCTAGCATTGTGTAAGTACAACTGTCTACTCTAGGGATAGCATTGTGTAAGTACAACTGTCTACTCTAGCATTGTGTAAGTACAACTGTCTACTCTAGGGATAGCATTGTGTAAGTACAACTGTCTACTCTAGCATTGTGTAAGTACAACTGTCTACTCTAGGGATAGCATTGTGTAAGTACAACTGTCTACTCTAGCATCGATTTCTTTCTAAAAAAAAAAAAAAATTAAAACTTACGTCAAACTAATAATGATGAATTAGATGCAATCGTGTGTGTTGTGTTATCTGCAGATCTAGCTCTAGATAAATTCCTTGTATTCTCGAATCAGCTGATCTGTGAAGCTAAAAAGCAAAGATTTATATCAAATATTTAAGGACTAAAATAGTTTAATATAGAAACTTGTTTTTTTTTTTGTTTCTAATTAATTTAGGTTTGGCCTATCGGAATTTCTAGAATCTCTAGATTTAGGTTAGATAAATTTATTGTATAGTTAAATGAGAAGAGTTGGACAGAGTGGTCTAGCAGTAGAGAGCTGGACTGCTAACCCGTAAGTCTTGAGTTCGAATCCGGGTTCAAGTCAGTAGACCGTACCTGACTCATGTGCGACCACACTATCTCTTCATATGCCGAGGTCACAGAAACAAGTGAACTCTACTTCACTTGCCCTATAGACCGTAAGGTTTGAAAGGGGAACTCAAACTTTTAACAAATGAGAAGAACTGCCCAGCGTATCCTATTAAAAATTGCTAAGTGTTGTAACCAAATAAAAATAGCAACAGTCGTATCGTTGAAGCTATAGCCAACAGAAAATTTAGCTTTATAATGCGTTAAACTTTTGAATGGGCAACACGATCTTCCACTGAAGCTGCTATGCTTGTTGTAAAAAGGTAAATGAATCATGTAACATCAGTATTATTCAAGTAATTGTTCTGAACTTTTATAATTAAAGCTGTGTTTCTACCAATGAATATATCAATAAATTAAATAATGTCTTTAAATAAACTTGTGATTAATAGTTTGGTAAAAAAAGAACATTATTATATGTATTTTACATCTCTACACATAGTGCAGATTCTTTCATGTAACCAAACAGAAAAAAAATATATATATAAACTTGAGTTTTAGTAGTATACAGATAGGTAGTCTTTTATGTCATTGTGTTATGATGCGAAGGAAGAGGGTGGGGATGGCAGGATATGCTGGGGGCAGTAGATAGACTGATCACATTTGTGTATTCCCTAGTATAAAACCTAATGTTCATTCTATTACTGATAGAAAGCCTCCATTAAAATGTGGTCACTTGTTGATTTCAGCAATGTTACAATGTATCTAAACATTAAAGTGGCCCCCACACCAGAGCTGCTGTCCTTCCCCCTCAATTTGATGCATTTAACTGCAACTATTACTGGGAAAATGCTGGATTTAAAAGGTACTCCTATTTTTATTTTTTTTCTATGCAGTAAAGTGGATGTATTGTAATAGTGCTGAATTACTAACAAATATATTGACAGTTTTCACGCGGAATATAAAGGATGCATTGGATTTGTGCAAAAATCTAAATTGAGGTTTTGAGATTTTATAATTTTCTGGAGCTGGAAAAACCTAGTTTTCCCGTTCTCTCCGTCTGTGTTTGTATGTAAACACCATACTTAATTACCGGTTCAGTTTGCTTGACAAATTCATATATAAGTATTTTATCAAATTTAGAGTTTTCAATTACCTTTGAGCAATTTCCGTTAACAGGAAGTCGTAGTTACTCTACTTCCCGTTTCTCAAAAGCCAATAACTTGAGTACTATGTAAGTTAGATAAATGAAATTTCATGTTAAATTATTACAAGTTTCTATCAGCTTTTGAACATTTGTGATTAACCGGAAGTGGTACTTAATTTCTATGTGAACACAATAACTTCAATGCTGTTCCAGTTGGGTGAAAAGTATTTCATATATAAGATCTAAAGTTCAATTACTTTCAACTTTTGAGTGAACTCAGATCACAGGAAGTGGTACTTTACTCAATTTCAGGTTTCTAAAATACCCATAATTGGAGTACCATTTCATTTAGGTAGACAACATTTCAGGAGCTGTTTTAAATGTACCATCTATAAAGCAGTGCTGATTAACATTCAATAACCTAAGGTTGTCCTCAGTTCCAAACAAAACCATCCTACCTCTTGACTCGGCACCAGAATCGTTAGTCGTTAAAAATTACATTATTTTAATTTAATTTTTTTTTTTTTTTTTTTTTTTTGGTTCTCATCATCGTTATTATTTCCTTATATAAACCTCAGTCAAGGTGGTTTATGTCGCGGGGGGTTTTTGTCCAGGGGGTTTTTGACCATGAGCCCTCCTAAAGCAATTACTAAGAAATCTGGACTTCTATGAGTTTTTTTTCAAAAAATAATTTGGTTTTGTCACAACTTCAATATTCTACAACTGAACAAACTATCTCTCTTACTGTTATAAAATAATAAATGACAAAGTTTAGGGGAGATCACTCTGGCTTTATTTATTTTATTTTTAGTCTAAAAATTATTAACATGACATTATACTTATGTATACTGTTTATCAGTACCAAGGACATATTTAGGTATACAGTTTGTCAGTATTAATCTGAAGTACTTAGCACGTGTATTAACTTGTTTATTCTACTTCCTGTTTGAAGAGAGTCAGGAACACATCTATGTGACAATGATATTTGCCAGCAACCTGACAAAAAGTAACTGCGAGGAATGGCTGGGCTCTGAGTGCAGGCTACACACTATAAATACTTGTGTGACATTTACTGCTCCAGCCTTCTTGTTGCCACACACTCAGTAAGTCAGTTGTGTGCAAGTTGTTCTCTGTTTCTTTATATCTGTTTCTTCTATATCTGTTTCTTTTATATCTGTTTGTTCTTGTTGCCACACACTCAGTAAGTCAGTTGTGTGCAAGTTGTTCTCTGTTTCTTTATATCTGTTTCTTCTATATCTGTTTCTTTTATATCTGTTTGTTCTTGTTGCCACACACTCAGTAAGTCAGTTGTGTGCAAGTTGTTCTCTGTTTCTTCTATATCTGTTTCTTCTATATCTGTTTCATCTATGTCTGTTTGTTCTATATCTGTTTGTTCTTGTTGCCACACACTCAGTAAGTCAGTTGCACGCAAGTTGTTCTCTGTTTCTTCTATGTCTGTTTCTTCTATCTGCTAGCTTGTTTATTTTTTCTATCCGCTAGATTGTTTATTCCATCTGCTAATTTGTTTTATTCTATTTGCTAGATTGTTTGTTCTTTACTTATTGTTTCAGGAAGCCCAAACAAGCTGAGGTGTGTGGAGATTTAGAGGGGGTGACCAAAAACATGTCAGCTGCCAACACTGCCATTAGTCAGAACTCAGATTGGTGCCACAGTGGTGGACACTTGAGGGTGGAATATTCCTTGGATGATTCTCTGACAGTCATGCTGTCACAAGTAAGTAGAATATTCCATGTCATCTTATTTGTGTCACTGCCATTGTCATCTTATTTGTGTGTTTGCAAACCGCCATAAATATATAATGTGTACACTACCATTTTTTTCTGGTGCAGCAAGAGAGATCACTCATCAATCTTCATCTTATGAGGACAAGTTATTTTCTCTTTGTAATGGTAGTGACTATGTTTTGCTATGCTATGATTAAAGGCAGACCTGGGAAGATAAAAACAGTCCATGTTCATTATGACAAGGTAAGGTATTCAATTGGTGCATAACATTAGGTTGACCAAACTAAAGGCCCATCGCAGACATTTCTTGTGAGTTTCTCCTGTTAGAACTTTAAAATCAGTGACACCAATTGTTTTATAACATCTCAATACATTTTAAAAACTGCTAATTTTACAAGTTAGCAGAAAACGGAAAATGAATCTCATTTTTTTTCCTCCTCATTGCAGCTAGCACTCTGTTCTTTCATTTCTGTATGGGGGAAATCATGTTTTAAAGACTGGAGTTCACTCATTTCTTCTTAGATTACGGTTCCGTGCATAATTTTCTTCAAACAACCCCCCATTTTTATACAATACTAGACACTAATTATACTGGATAACTGGGTTTCTGGAGGGGGTGGGGTCATCCATAAAGGATGTAACGTTTGGGTGGGGTCATCCATAAAGGATGTAACGTTTGGGTGGGGTCATCCATAAAGGATGTAACGTTTGACAATTTTTATCTTTCCCCTCCAGACTGTCACACACCATCACAAAAAACCAGACCCCACATTCTAAAAGATGTCACACCGCAGACATGTTATTCACAGATTTTGGCTAAGCATGGTTCTGACCACACTATCCCTTCAAATTCTGAGGTCACAAAAATGGCTGAACTCTACTTCACCTGCCCCATATCCCACGAAGTCCTGATCGGCAACTACCATTTACATCCAAAGCAGAAAAAAAAAATTTAACATTGACATGGTGTGTCCCGAATCAATACCACCCGCATGGGGTACTATTATACTATTAACTTGGCGAGCTGGGCACATACTATAAAGTGCAAATTATTGGGTTAATTTACTTAACATCGTATAATAAAGTTAAATTACGCCAATATTATTTTATATTAAATTATATCTTAATTTAGCCAATTCAATTGCTAAACAAACAAAGATTTATATAAAACTAGCATACCCGTCTCCGCACTTTGCCATAGGAATAGAAGAAAATCTGACGAAATATATAAGAAGGTTTCATTCACGCGTTACCAGTCCAATATTCTTAGACGTGTGACCTTGTTTTCTAAAACTGAGTTATTTAAATGTAAACAATGCCTGCGCTTTGATCATAAATATCGGGACACGGGTTTACCTACACTACCTCATGAAAACCTTGTGTGTACTTTAATCACTGACCGAAACAATGAGTTAGAACAGACTTTGGTTACTGCCCATGTGTCAGGGAAGTAGCAGGGCTCTCTGGAGCCCCCAAATTACACTACCGCAGAGGCGCTAACATAGGCGCCATCATGCTCATAGGATAACTCAGAGCTCCAAATAGCATCCTGTTAACGATGCGTGGAACGGAGTGATCTAGAGGTAGGGAGCTGGACTGCTAACCCGTAAGTCTCGAGTTCGAATCCGGGTTCAAGTCAGTTGACCGTCCCTGAGTCCACCCAAATATTGTAGACTCAAATAATTTTAAAGCACTGCCCAGCATATCCTATTAAAAATTGATATAAGTGTTGGAACCTAATAAAAATAGCAAACAAACTATAGCTACAGAAAATTAAGTTTTAAATGCATTAAACTTTTGAATGGGCAACATGGTCTTCAATGGAAGCTGCCATGTTTGTTGTGAAAATAAGTAACTAAATCAATGGAAGTCATTAAGCTGGTGAAAGTTTTTTTTACTTTTTCTGAAAATGAAGTCTGTTCTGAACTTTTTAACAGCTTGGTAAAAAAGAACATTCTCTACAAAAATTTGTCTTTTACATTTCTACACATAGAACAGATGCTTTAATATAACAGAACAAACAAACAAAAAAATAAATATACAAACTTGTAAACAAAGGAGACTTTTAGTAGAATATAGATATTTTTCAAAAAAATGTTTTTACATCTAAACATTAATCGACTTCAATTTTAATAACACCAAAGCTCTCAGAAATGGACTAACTTTCAGAAAAATATAACAATACTAGATAAAAATAAAATCCAAAAACAGATTTTACATGGAATATTTAATTGAAATATGGAGGAATCTGGCTGCTACATCTTTAAAATATGAATTGAATTCTAGTGTAATATTAAATGAGATGTTTTATTTTGAAGTAACTGCTGACCTCTATATCCTTTGATTAGGTGACAAGTCAGCCCTAAGTTGTGGTACCACTTCCCTTGAATGTCAGGTTGACATGAAAGGTCTCAAGTTGCTGAAGTATTGAATCTGTCAAAGATATCTGTGAATGTCTGGTAAAGATATCTGAGAATGTAATTTTGTTATAGGTATCTGTGAATAATTGTAGTAAAAAGAAATCTGAGAATGTCTGTTGCAAAGTTAATTGAGAATATCTGAAAACATGCTAAATCTGATCATCTGCCGTACTGACATGTATAAATGTAGTTTTTGTAGTGCACATTCTAATGGACTCATGTCACCAGTTGTTCTTATGTAGTTTTTGTAGTGCACATTCTAATGGACTCATGTCACCAGTTGTTCTTACCCTTTCAAGTGACAACACTAAATGAAGTTAGTCTAGTGCTTCCAGCAAGTGTGCTATATATAGGCATTTATTGCTGGCTTCTTAGTTTGATGTTTGACTGTGTAAGATGTAATTTTAATGTCTGACTGTAAGATGTAATTTAGATGTTTGACTGTGTAAGATGTTTGACCAGTAGATACAGCATGTACAGTAGATGTCAAAGTGAAAGTTTGAAGGTTTTTTTTTTTACCTGCATTGGAAAATTTGATTTCATAAACATTCCCACTGATGGGCTCATTGAATTGTGCATTCAAGATTGAAAGACATTTTGAAACATCTAAATGTAGATCTCTATCTAAAGGGAATGGCCACTTACTCGTGTATTTTGTTTGAGTTACATTCTGTGCTAAAGCTTCATGGAAGTTGTAGGGGAGCTAATTGGCATTTTAAAAAATTGTCCTCCATTTAGTATTGCTGCTGTTGACGTTGTGATGGGAACCTAGTGATATTGACTTGTGATATTAAGCTTATGTAGAGCCTGGGTGTGGTGGTGATCATTGAGTGGATTGACAATCCCTGAAAACTTGTGCAAACACTTGTGAGAAACAGATTCTCCCTACCAGAGCTCCCCGCTGCTGTAGATAGCCCTTACAAATGTTTGTGGAGATGAATAAGGGGGAGTGAGTCAAACTTTCTCATGTTATTCTTAGAAACTTTTTTTAATGAATATCTGAGTTGAAATAGTTGAAGAAATTGTTTTGGTACAAAACTTCAAGTCTACGTGGTTAAGAGATCAACAAAAGATTGACTAAAAATACTAGGTATATAAATAAATTTACTTTAATTTGTTTATAATTAACTGGACACTTTTATTACCTGTATTATTTGTGTTGACAACTCTTTGTAAAGAACTCTTGCTCTAGACCTCTTATCATGTTTGTTTTCAGTTTTCATTCTATGTCTTTAGATCAGTGGCCACTTGAGTCACAGATTGGATTTAAAACTTGTCATTTTTTAAGTAGATTTGAACAATTAAAATTGCCCTTGTCTATTTTTATTTTATTTGGCTTTAAATAGATTGTGAATGCAATGAAATGTGTTTATCTTTTGCTCTCCAAGTCCCTGCATATTGGATGAATAGGCTCAAGATGGAAAGGCCGCTACAAACTTCATCAACCATTGTTTATAATCTGATCTGTATCATTGTACAATTTGCAAGTTAAAACATAGATTGTGACAGTATGTTTTGTTCAAATGACCAAGTTACTAGAAAAAACTAAAACAAGATTTGGCAGACGTCCTTACCAATTATGACTGGTTTTAAAAAGTCTCAAGCAACACCCTAACCTTACTCTCTACAAGCAGGTGGACAGGATTTGTTCAAGCTCTATTGGCACTATTCATTCAGTGATTGAATATGACAAAAAAATCTTTAACCCAAATGTCAAGTTTGGGATTCAATAGTTGCCTACACCAACACTATGGATGGCATATTTTGTTGTCAGAAATCAGTCAAGAAGATAATGTTTGTTAAATTTACTAATTTATGTTTCTTTGTTCCATTGAAACAAAGAATTGTTGCTATTGTTTAAACTTTATTTCTAAAACGATGTGGGACAATTTTTATTCATGTATGTATATAAATTAAAATATGTTTATCATATATATTTATATATATATACATGTATATATAATCATGTAAATTTATATATATATATATATATATATATATATATATATATATTGTTTTTCTTTCCATGAGGATGATACTTGTCATGTTAATATTTTAACTTAAAAAATTTAAATATAAAGGTTTCATTTCTTTTTCTATACTTTTGTTTTTTTTTTAATCTACACTACTTAACTATGACATGTTGTGTACTACCAACAGTTTTATTGTTTTCATTGGGTTTGGCAGTTACACCTTGGCAACAGTTCTGTTATGTTTGGGTAACTTAACTGCTTATTTCAAAATGACATTTTTTTTTTTGTTATTTGAGACTTTTTCTTTAATTGTCAGAAATCTTAGAATCAGGGATTGCCATTTTCTGGAGAGGCTCTTTTTCATTGTAAATAAATTTGGAACGACTTTTGAGAAACTACAAAGTTAAAACTGTCAGCTGCTGCCTATTATTGTGATATGTCTAACTCACCATATCCCTCCCTGACCTTCTTGACATATGTCTAACTCACCATATCCCTCCCTGACCTTCTTGACATATGTCTAACTCACCATATCCCTCCCTGACCTTCTTGACATATGTCTAACTCACCATATCCCTCCCTGGCCTTCTTGACATATGTCTAACTCACCATATCCCTCCCTGACCTTCTTGACATATGGCTGAGCTCTAGGAAATAATGAGACGCCTCTACCACACATTTTTCTCTGTCACTTGACATTATCACAGATTACCTATCAATATCTGCCTTCCTTTTTAAAAATGTCTGCCCCCCTGTAAAGAGTCTTTGTAAATTTCATATAGATTCTTCATGCGCTGGGTTGATTTGTATTGTTTGGTATCCATTGATTTAATCAAGTATTTGCCCATTAATGTTTTGGAGGAGTTAAGTCGTGGGGCATCCTGTCCAGCTGATAACAAGTGTTTGCTTGAGCTGTGTCCCTGACCTGTTTACAACTGGCATTGGGGAGTTAATATGACTACCAATTGAACAGTTTCTTTAGTATGTCCCACTTAATATGACTACCAATTGAACGGTTTCTTTAGTATGTCCCACTTAATATGACTACGAATTGAACAGTTTCTTTAGTATGTCCCACTTAATATGACTACCAATTGAACAGTTTCTTTAGTATGTCCCACTTAATATGACTACGAATTGAACAGTTTCTTTAGTATGTCCCACTTAATATGACTACCAATTGAACAGTTTCTTTAGTATGTCCCACTTAATATGACTACCAATTGAACAGTTTCTTTAGTATGTCCCACATCACCCCAACTGAACTGCTTTCTGGTATCTCCTCTCAAGCATGAATTTAATCCTTGCATGTGATCTGATGTAAGGCTGACATTTGGGATTTTCTTAGCTCTTACTTTTCATCTAGGTTTCCGATCAATGGTAAATTATTTGGAAATCTAATTTTATGGAATCGAGTAAACTTAAGGAAAAGGTCTATAAGGCAAAGGAGTTATATTTCTTGACCACAGCATGTTTATTAAATACGAGCTGACCCATATTTCTTGACCACAGCATGTTTATTAAATACGAGCTGACCCATATTTCTTGACCACAGCATGTTTATTAAATACGAGCTGACCCATATTTCTTGACCACAGCATGTTTATTAAATACGAGCTGACCCATATTTCTTGACCACAGCATGTTTATTAAATACGAGCTGACCCATATTTCTTGACCACAGCATGTTTATTAAATACGAGCTGACCCATATTTCTTGACCACAGCATGTTTATTAAATACGAGCTGACCCATATTTCTTGACCACAGCATGTTTATTAAATACGAGCTGACCCATATTTCTTGACCACAGCATGTTTATTAAATACGAGCTGACCCATATTTCTTGACCACAGCATGTTTATTAAATACGAGCTGACCCATATTTCTTGACCACAGCATGTTTATTAAATACGAGCTGACCCATATTTCTTGACCACAGCATGTTTATTAAATACGAGCTGACCCATATTTCTTGACCACAGCATGTTTATTAAATACGAGCTGACCCATATTTCTTGACCACAGCATGTTTATTAAATACGAGCTGACCCATATTTCTTGACCACAGCATGTTTATAAAATACGAGCTGACCCATATTTCTTGACCACAGCATGTTTATAAAATACGAGCTGACCCATATTTCTTGACCACAGCATGTTTATTAAATACGAGCTGACCCATATTTCTTGACCACAGCATGTTTATTAAATACGAGCTGACCCATATTTCTTGACCACAGCATGTTTATTAAATACGAGCTGACCCATATTTCTTGACCACAGCATGTTTATTAAATACGAGCTGACCCATATTTCTTGACCACAGCATGTTTATTAAATACGAGCTGACCCATATTTCTTGACCACAGCATGTTTATTAAATACGAGCTGACCCATATTTCTTGACCACAGCATGTTTATTAAATACGAGCTGACCCATATTTCTTGACCACAGCATGTTTATTAAATACGAGCTGACCCATATTTCTTGACCACAGCATGTTTATTAAATACGAGCTGACCCATATTTCTTGACCACAGCATGTTTATTAAATACGAGCTGACCCATATTTCTTGACCACAGCATGTTTATTAAATACGAGCTGACCCATATTTCTTGACCACAGCATGTTTATTAAATACGAGCTGACCCATATTTCTTGACCACAGCATGTTTATTAAATACGAGCTGACCCATATTTCTTGACCACAGCATGTTTATTAAATACGAGCTGACCCATATTTCTTGACCACAGCATGTTTATTAAATACGAGCTGACCCATATTTCTTGACCACAGCATGTTTATTAAATACGAGCTGACCCGCGACCCGCCAACGCTTCCTTTATTTATAGTTATTTAAACTATTTAAACAATTTTTGCATTATTATCTGTTTAATGAAAATCATTTATTACCATCTTTTTAGTGCATAATTATTAATTATATAGACCTTACTTCACTGTGGAGTATAGGGCAGTCACAAATCTCCGCCATTTCACTCTGTCCTGGGCGAGCCACTTCAATTCGTGACAGGTCTTGCCAGTATTGTAGCCCTGCACTTCTTCCATCTCTCTCCTCCAATGTTTCTTCCAGACTTTTTTCTTCGGGGGGGGGGGGGGGGGGGTTAGGGGGGGAAGAGCACTTGATATTTTCAGGGGGTGGACGCTGGCAAAAGTATTTTCTATATAAATTCCATTTCGTTCGGGGAGGGGCGGTAGACTTTCTTTCTTTTGTTGAGTGTATATTTGGTTGAATGTGGCAAAATGATCATTCTGCCAAGGTAGTCAAACCTAAGAAGATTTTTAATTTTCTTACAAAAAAAAAAGGAAGTAAGAAAAGAAAAAAAATTCAATTTTACCCCGTTGGATGCCCTCCTGATGTGGATGCCCCCCCCCCCCCCCTCTGCACGCCACTGTCACACGACCAAGCGACGCCATTGAAACAACGCATGCGCTTGGATTATAAAAATCGCATGAAAACCTTGAGTATATGTTAATCACTCACCGAAATAATGAGGTAGAACACACTTCGGTGACCGCCCATGCGTAAGGGACGCAGAGAGGCGCTCTCGGGAGCCCCCGATTACATTACCGCAGAGGCGCCATAGTGCTCGCAGGGGAACCTGGGCGCTTCGGGTCGTGTAATCTACGGGGCGCCGGAGGTTGCTCCTGTTGAAGTTTTAACGCTGAATATAGCAGTACCCCTTACCGGCTATGCAGGACGCACGATTAACGGATGCCAAGTGCTAACATAGCCTCTCGTGATTTCTGGGCGCCAAATGTGTATTGATGAAAATCGCACCCTCCCGGGCGCCGCTCATTTCAAATTTTAATTACCTTGTTAACTGAAACCTTCCCGGGAGTATTCACATCAACTCCTTAAAGTTTTATAGCACTCGGATAAAAGGTGTTGAGCCGCATCGGAATTCATTTTTTTTAATATACCGTATATAGAGCAGAATAGTATACATTAGCGTTCACACTTACAGAACATGTTGTAGAACATTTTATATAACAAACATGATCATTGACACGGAGCGTCTGCTATATAGGCCCAGACAATTAAAATAAAAAGTAATCAAAGTAAAAAAAAAAACGTAGATAGTGGACACACAGCTTTTTTTTTTTTTTTTTTAAAAAGGAAAATGGTGTAGCCACGGTGCTTGCGATTCAACAATAAATTATCTAAAAATTAGAGAACATGCAAGATTTTATAAATTTTATTGGAGTGCCAGCAACTGGAGCCAGTGGCGTAGCGAGGTAGGGTGTCACCCGGTGCGGCACTTAATGGTGTCACCCCCTCAGAGGTGTAGCGACTCTTCCCGGGGCAAACTTTCAGTTTTCGATTTGCACCCCCTTCCTCGAACTTTCGATTTGCACCCCCCCCTCAAATTTTTCTCTATATATTTTACTATTTTTTGTCTTGGTGTCACCCCCTAAATAGTGTCACCCGGTGCGGTCCGCACCCATCCCATCGCTACGCCTCTGACTGGAGCTAGACAGTTTCGATGAACAAGGCTAAATATTTGTTTGCTGAAAGGCTCGAATTCTTCGAAAACTTGCATCTGCCAAGTTCATTAAACGTATTTAGATCGCGTTATAACTATACTAAGTCTATTATTAAGACAAATTTCACAAAAAAACGTTTTAATTTTAATAACAAGCTTTTATGTCTTAATGCACTAAAAAGTAGAAAATAAATTATAGACTACTATTTAAATAAATATAAAGAAAAGCGTGGTTCACTTTAGTAACTATTGGGTAACTTGTTTAGTAGGTCAAGTCTAGTGTACATGTCGTAAGTGTAAACGCGGTGTTAGACATGTACATTTATACATGTCGTAATTGTAAACGGGGTATAACAAAAAGGGAATCTACTCTAATTAACTGTAATAGACAGAATACACATTTTGTATCTGTCTAGATCTAAAATATTTAATACAGATCTAGAATCTTGATCAGTTCAAAGTTGTTGAAAATTAATTTCAGGACACGATTATTAGACTCTACTCTTGGCCCTCACTTAATGGTAATTGATTCAATTAGAATCTAGATCTAGATTAGATTTAGCGGTAATCTATCGACTTTCGTTTTAGGTTTTAGATTTAGGCTTTAGGTTAGTAGGTCCTTTTACATAGGTTCGTAAAATCGCCCGCGACTAGTCATGTGAAAAACAGGTGACTCCTTAAATTTTAATAATTATTTCACATTTTGAGGAGGATTTATGTTTTGAAAAATACAAAAATGTTTCCTTGTTTCATTTAGATCTAGATCTATGTACCTGTTTGGTAATCTATCGTTTTGGGTACGTAAAATCGCCCGCGGCTATTAATGTACGAAAACGTTACCTCATTGTCAAGGCTGTAATAGAAGTATATTGTGATATGTTTGTGTCAAATATTATAGATACATGAATAATGAACCTAAATCAATGGCTAAATATAATTAAATATATCAATATAGGCCAGAAATTGACTTTAAACAGCAGTGTCTGCAAGCAAGATTTGCTATATAAATAGCAGCCATTTGTAAAATAGAGTGACTTCCGCCTGAATCTCGGCTATAAGTCTATAAAAATAAAACTAACAAGATGTCTGCTATAGTAAATGAGCATGGTTGCATCTGTTGGAAACATCGTTGGTGTTCATTTATTACTGAAAAGTTTTAATTCAATTGTTTAAAAACCAGTAGGTACATAAATGAAACAAGGAAATATTTTGGTATTTTTCAAAACATAAATCCTCCTCAAAATGTGAAATAATTATTAAAATGTAAGGAGTCACCTGTTTTTCACACTACTAGTCGCGGGCGATTTTACGTACCTAAAACGATAGATTACCACCTGTTTTTAAACATTTAAATTAAAACTTTTCAGTAATAAATGAAGACTAGCGATGTTTCCAACAGATGCAACCATGCTCATTTACTATAGCAGCCATCTTGTTTATTTTTTTTAATTGTTAACTTATAGCACAAGATTCAGGGGTAGCTACTCTAACTTACAGATGGCCGCTTTTTATTTAGCAAATCCTGCTCGCAAACACTGCTATTTAAAGTTAATTTCTCGCCTATATTGATATATTTAGCCATTGATTTAGGTTTATTATTCATTTATCTATAATATTTGACACAAATATATCACAATATACTTCTATTATAGCCTTAACAATGAGGTAGCTTTTTCGGACATTACTAGCTGCGGGCGATTTTACGTACCTAAAACGCTAGATTACCATTAATTAGTCTAATCTATCGTTTTAGGTATGTAAAATCGGCCGAGACTAGTAATGTGAAAAAAGGTGACTCATACAATTTTAGTAATTATTTCACATTTTCAGGAGGATTTATGCTTTGAAAGTTACAAAAATGTTTCAAGGTTTCATTCATGTACCTGTTTTTAAACAATTGTTTAATGTTTACTGTATAAAAACTTTTAAGTAATAAATAAAAACTAGCGATAGTGATGTTTTCATCAGATACAACCAAGCTCATTTACTTTAGCTGCCATCTTGTTTGAGTTTTTTTGTAACATTATATAGTGCGAGATTCAGGGGAAACAACACTCTAATTTACAAATGGCTGCTGTTTATATAAGCCTAGCAAATCTTGTTAACAAACACTGCTGTTAAAAGTTAATTTCTGGCGTATATTGATACCAGTGTCCGATAATGGAATCTTTTTAAAAAAAGGGGTGTTGGGTTGTTAGTAGTATTGTAATCTTGACTAATTTTATGGTTAGAAATTAGGGTTAGGCGTATGGTAGGACCAGGGTTAGGGTTAGGGACAGGGTTAGCATTGACATTAGCCAGCTATGTATGTATTTAGTTAACTACCCCTTTTTTAAAGAAGATTCCATTATTGGACACCTGTGTAAACATTCTCCCGATATATTTAGCCATTGACGTGGACGAAAAAGGCAGAGTGGACATTAAGGCTGACAATGACAATGTTGGCCATTGTTTTTGTTGGCTACATTTGTCTCGTCTCCTCTTTGTGTTTTGTCAGAACAAATCCATACAATAAGCATGGGTTTCCCCTTCTTTGATTCTGTACATTTACATCCCATTGTATCTAAAATATTCAATTCTAAAATAGACCTATATAACTTTTTAGTTAAAAAAAAAGAATTTATAGAAAGTATAGGGCCTATAGATCTAGGCCTGTAGATAGAGTCCTTGCATACATATATACGACATCATGGATAGTTTAGTATATAAACATCCGCCACCGCGGTGTACAGGTCCACATTCAAAATCTGTACTGTGAAAGTTTGTGTCAGATCTAAAGGAATTCCTTTATTTCGACTGCCAAGGGTTATATTAAACCAAGGTGATAGAGATCTGCAGTCAACAGAACGTAGACACTGTCAATTTTTACCCAATATTTATCCAAGTGGTGTGAGTGAAGCAACGGCAAATAAAATGCAGATATGTTCTCGACCCTTTGATTTTGGTAGGGGGAGTAAACAATAAATTTCATTTAAATTAACAAAAGACAACTGTTAATAAAACAAATATGCTCTGCCTTCATACATATTAATAGCAATAGACCAAAGTCAAAAGTAATAATAACATTTAATTGGAATATTTATTTAATATTTAGATCCTGAATCTAGCTCTAAATCTAATCATGTTGTTAACGAAATTAGATCTAGATTTAGAGTGTAAACATTTGGTGTGAACCACAGCTCACCAGACTGGTGGGGGTGGTGGTGGTGTCCTTTATGGTCCACACGTAAAGAATTATATATATAGATTAACAAGCCACCTCAGAAGTAGATTAGCTATTTTATTGGGGGTTTTGTAGGGGTTAAGTGGTCTCACATTTGTTACTGTAGTGTAGATCTACGAGATTTATTGCTACTAAATCGTGTACTTAACTTGAGAATCTAGAATTGATTCTAACTAGATCTAGATTTAAATAATCTATAATATAGATTCTATATTACTGCATTTTATGACAACATGAATAGAACGTTCTTCAATGCCTAAAAGTTTTTTTTTACATATTGTTTCTGTTCCGCGGGTGGGAGGTTCTTAAATATGATGAAGACATTTTTAAACACGTCCAGTGCTGTGCAACAGCTGATTGTGTACTGGCGGTGTTCACCACGGTGACGGTGGACGTAGGTATCTCGTGATTTAGGTCATGTGTTTGCAAGGTCTCTATAGAAGATTAATATAGGCTAGCAAGACATAGATTCTTGATATAGAAGCAAACACTCTATAAAAAATGGGGGGGGAGGGGAAAGGGGTAGCAAAAGGTGATAATTATTCTAGAATCTAAATTTATATTTTCGTTTATAAAAAAAATCTAAGGCCTAATGATAAATTTAAGGCAGATTTTAGACAGTGTAAAATATGGATGCACTGGGGTTAAAATATATGAAGGTATTGTATGCCCCCGATATGTGAAGGTTTTGTATGCCCTTAATATGTGAAGACATTGCCTAGTACTCAACCAAGCTGTTACATTTTTATGTAGATAGCAAGTTGCCCCATCTACTGGAAGGGGCCAAGACATTTTAAAAAAGTTAAATGGTGAATAATCTAGCTTTTATTTGCATTTATTTTATGACTGACTTTCTGAAGTGCAGCTGTTGTAAAATAACAAAAGAATTTTTATTGAGGTCATTCTCCTGGTCATTGGATAGTTGCTTTTGTAAAAGTTAAATCTGCTTCCAACAAAAATTCTTTTAATAGGGGTAATTGTGGTAAAAAGAAAGAAGTGGAAATAGCTTCCTTTATTAGTTCATCACTGTATGCTTCTAAAATGATACCTTTTGCATGATTGCTTACACAACTTTTTACTTTTTGCTGTTCCATTTAATGTTTATATTATGAAATTTCTTTTGTGTAGTTCTGAAATGAAATATATTATTATAATATAAGCTAAAGGTTCAAGCCATGAAGAATATAGTATATGGTATGAAAACGCTCTGTCTACAAAGTATATTACAACAAAAGCATAGGCTTTATGTTGTAGTATAAATGAGAAGCACCATTAAGGATATAGCTGTTTGAAACAAAAGTATCAAGTATGCCTCATTTTAAATTTAAGAGTCTCATTCTAATATAGATGTCATACAAGCTATTAATTATCATGTTTTCTTCTAAATTTATTACTTAGCACCAGCTATGAATTCTTCCTTAAAAAAAAATTGCCACTACCAATATTACAAGTCCAGTTTTTGAGAGTCTCCCCACCCTGCCCTTTGCATGACTTCAAACTAACAATTATATAATTGAACACATTTCTGGCCTGATAAAATAAAATTTAGACATTCCTTATTATGAATATTCATGAATATACAAAACAATTGTGAATTAAAGTATGTCAGAAAGAAATATTTTATTTAAATCTATGTCAGTCCTCACAAGCTGATGATGAAAGCAGGTACACAAAAGGGAACAAGGTTATATTATAAGGCAAACTGACACTAAAAATTTACATATCTGAGCCTTGGGGCGACAGAACACTGACCTCGACTGACTAGCGCCTTATATGAGCTATATATAGAAAAAAATTTCCCATGTAGGAACCTCCTCATAACTCCTGAGGTCGTAGACCAACCCTCGGGGGTGGCAAAAAAACAAACTATGATATGTTCAGGAATACTCCGGAAGGGGTTTCGAACTGACCGGTCCGAATTTCCCCTAAATAAACATTGTTAATTTGGTGAAAAACGATGGCTATTTTCAAAACGTTTTGGAACTTTAGCTCTGTACACCTGGCTCATTTTTTTCCATAAACCTGGGTTAGTGAATCGGCCTTATGGATAAACTATTGGTCAGCCTCTGCTAAAAAGTGACCACGAGAGAAATTCTCCTAATATGAGCTATATAAAAAAAAAATTCCCACGTAGGAACCCTTTGAAAACTCTTGGAGATGTACATCAGCCCCAGGGGGTCAGAAAAAAAATGGTGCTACCCGCGGGAAAATCCCGGAACAATGTTTTAACTGACCAGAAGCCATATTTCTTAATATAAACATAGAACTGTTTTTGTAAAATAAAAAAATACAAATACC